GGGAGGCTAGCCCTCCCCACGTTTCCCTGGTGGGCACTCTGGCCAACACCAGAGAAACTCTACTGCCTCCCTCCTGGCCCTGGACCCCTTAAAGGGGCATGGGCTGGCTACAGTGCCCGTGCCAGGGCAAGCCTGACAGCACCCAGCCAGCAGACCCTGTACCTGGCACAGCTCAAGCTAGCCACCTGATGCCCCCCAGCCCTCCCCCTCTTCCCGGGACCAGGCTGGAATAAAGACAGATTCCATTTTTGACCACAATTGTCCTTTATTTTGTACATCAGGAAGAGGGGCTAGGGAGGGGTAAGTGGAAGGAGGTGAGGGAGGAATGGGGTACGAGCCCCCGATGGGGAGGACTGGGCTGACTCTGCGGGCTTCTGGGGGTGGAAGCTCTCCGCCAGCCCCCCAATTGCCACTTCTCCACAGATGGCAGCCTGCGGCAAGTGCAGCCGGGCTGATGGCCAAGTGGTGTGATGTGCCCAGTGTGGGTACTCCGGGCACTCCAAGCCAGGACTGGTTTGCAAGTGGGGCACCCCTGAGAACTGTCTGTCCGGGGTGGGGGTCGGGACCCTTTAAGCGCAGCCCTCGGCTAGCCTGAGACAGCATCTCCACGCTCTAAGTCCTCTTCTGATGCCCTGCCGGCACTGCTTCCGGCCATCCTTAAGCCCGGTTCAGGGTCCACTTTATGTGGACATGCTAGTTCGAATTAGCAAAATGCTAATTCGAACTAGTTTTTAGTTCTAGACGCGTTAGTTCGAATTAGCTTAGTTCGAATTAACTAATTCGAACTAAGTTAGTTCGAATTAGCGCTGTAGTGTAGACGTACCCTAAGTGTATTGCTGAAGATTATAAAATCACATCTCTAAAAAATCATTGTACTCCTCTATCGGGCATAGGAGAACCAGTTTAATAGTACTGCCTAGAGCCCCATAAATCCTAAGGACAGCCCTGCACACATTACCCTAGGGACTAAAATCCACAATTTATCCATAAGTATGGGCACAGCCTGAGCAGTAGTAATGGAAATTCCCCACTCCCGGTCTCCCCACTGCCCCGTTAACATGCTGTACTCCTCACCTAGAAAGTCCATTTCTAGATACCAATGAGAATTATTCAGTCTCTATGGAACTTGCTGCTCAGCCATGGCAGCAGATTGCTTTTGAACAGCTGATATCAATACATTTAACAGTAGTGAATGTCATTTTAATAAACCAAATTAAGCTCCAAAAAGTACCTCTAATGAAGTAACCACATTTACCAGCTGTTTTACACTGAATGTGCAATTTCTCCCCCTACATCAAGTTGCAAAATCTGACAAATGGGGAGAGTTTATCTAGGGCTGCAGACACAAGATAAAAGAGATGAAGAGGCATTTCCGGATGTGATCTTCAGTATTAGCAGTTTCATTTAATTCTGATCTGGACACTAGAGCTAAGAGGATGGGAGGATGGTTCTGGAATGTGGCCCTCAGAAGCTTTGTTCTACAGCATGTGGGAGAAAACTACACAACTCAGTCATTTTTAAGGGAATCCTGAACATCTGGAGCTTTATTGTGCCTGATAGGCTTAGCAGTTTTGAATAATTGTGGGGACTAGAGATCGTGAAGCCACAATAGAACAGGGGGGAAGGAAGGTACCTGTGAAAACCTCCTTTAAGGAGAGGGAACAACAATGCACCTTTCTTTTGCTCTTAGTTCTGCCATCAACACAAAGGAGTAGGAATGAACCATGTCTTCTCAATGCCCACTTTGAGGCTCCTCTCGCCCCACAATGGAAACCCTAGAAGGTGACATTTCCTATGTCTGGGGCCTGTAAGAATGGTAGCTGTGCCCATCCACTGTGAGGGTAGGGGCAGAAGAGTATAAGAGGTGGAACCTGCTTGCACAGATTTTTCCCAGTGCTGGTATGACTGCACGTCTGGAAACAAACTAGATTTTGTAATACGTATCCCCAAGGTGGAAATTCCCCTGGGGGCTTTGCACCTTTCTCTGTAGCCCCTTGGTGCTGACCACTAGTGGAGACAGGGAGCCAAACTCAGTGGGCGGCTAGTCTGATCCTGTTTGGCAATTCCAACATTCCAATTGATCAGACACTAAGCAGCTCAGATTTCTTTCTGTCTGTGGAATGGATGATAGAATGGGGTCCTTGCAAGTAAGAGTGGGGAATCTCTTTTCAAGTCCCGGCATTTCCCACATCCCAAGTGAGTGCCCTAAACATTAGGCTATAGAGTCTCTTTCCTGCCCCATGACTATTTAACTATTTATACAAAGTAAAACAGCTCCAAAAGGAGAAAGACCCACCTTAGAATAACCAACACCCTTGAAATGCGGGAGAGTGACGTTCCAGTCTCTCCACTGAATGAGACAGAGCATGGATTTGAACCAGCCTCATATGTATCTTAGGTGGACACCTGAACTCTTGAGCTATTGGCTCTTCTAAGACACCTACTCCTCAGCCCCCAATGAAAAACTTCAAAATATCTCAGTTTCCCTCTGGTGAGGAGTAGGAACAACTTTCAAAATCTCCAAAATGTTTGCAGGGAAAAGAAAATTGTTTCCCATCCAGCTCTGATTTTTTTTCTCTGGACTTTAGACCTTGGCTGCAGTGCTCTGAGCCAGCATGGTATGTTGTTTCTATGTCCCACAGCTGTGGGATATTTTTGAGATACACTTTTTCAGTCTTCACCCTTGGGGAACTGGGATGCCCCTACAGCCCTCTCATAAGTTCAGAGACTAGAACTGCCATTAATGAAAGAGGCACAACAATTGCTGTGAAGGTATCGGAGAATATTCCGTTAGGAACTGCATAATTGCAAATAAAAATGTATTAAAGAAAACATATTTTATAAGATGCATCGCCTGTGGAACCCACTGATGCAAGATATTACTGAGGAAAACAGTGCTGTAGGATTCACAAAAGGATTAATAATTTATAAAAATAATAAAAATAACATCTGCAGTTCTACTAGGTAGGATAAACTTTATCAGATATATCAACCCTCCTTCATAAAACCACAGCATACCAACTACTAACCGTCTCAGGTTCGAAAGAAGCTTCTCCCATAGGCACGCTATTGCAAAATTGTCTAGAATAGGTTTTTTTTCCCCACATACCTATAAAGCATTCTGATTTCAGCCACCATTGCAAATTAGATACAAGACTGGAATGACCACTAGACCATGCAGCATGACAATTCCTGTATTAAATAGCACCAAGATGCGTATTAAAATAGCGTTATTAAATAAATGTTTATTGAGCCAAGACATTCAGTAAAGCTGTTCCTTCTAAAGACACTCTTCCCTCTGTGCTTAGAGACTGCAGAGGTCTATTGGCAGTGCACTTTGTCATAGATATTGCAACTTTTTACAACACTAAGGCACATGGACTGAAATTGACCTCTATTTAGTTACACTAGTTAAGTCAGCTGGCTCTCCACACCGGGGTACTTTGTGGTTTGAATACAAGCCTTAACACTTATTGCACTTCCAACTTTTTAGTTAGTTGTGCACTACAACCAGAAGCATACGGTACAAACAGCAGTAAACGTAAGCAAAAGCCAAAGTTCACCAGTGTTATGTAGAGTGTGGTAGAACAGTAAAGGCCATCGTTGATATAAGCCCAAGATACATTCCAAAAAACTTGGACTTATAGCAAAACAACTTAAAGCAGGGATTTTTTTTCCTGCAGCTGAGTTCCATTTGCGCAAATTGGTTTGGTTTTTTGTTGTTTTTGTTATTGAGTTTTTTGTGCAACTTAAGAGAGGGGAATGGGAGGACTGCATCAGTTCTTCCAAACGTCAATGACTTTAGTGTAGAATGGATGTATAATAGCAGGGAAGCCCTGTACACTATCTAATAAAGCTGCTCACTCAAGATATTTCCACCAGCCCAGAACACAAACACAAGCATAAGAAAACCAAACCCTCCACCTCATTTTCTGAGCTGATGCAGATTTGTTCCCGCTGTTTGCTGAACCACGAGCTGCACATCTAGAACAGCTACATAGCAAGAAGCAGCCTTTGGCTTATCTATACTTGTCTTCTTCTAGGAAAAAATCTGCAAGGCTGCTTTCAAACAGTAGCTCTCAGGCTCAGGGCAGTGAGGCCCGAGATGACTCCGAGTATGGTTCAACCATCCAAAAAATCCATTGTACTGTGTATTAAATTGGATTTTTGGAGTAGATAAAATACGATTCAGGTCAGTAAGATGGTTGTTTTGAGTGAACTCTGTGGTTTTACTTAGGAGGCTGTTGTCCCCTGCAATGTGAGAAGGTTCTCTCATCTCTTCTGATTTCAGTAAGTTTCTCCCACCTACCCAGATTGAACAGTTAAGAAACAATAATAATATAAAGCACACCCTCCTGAAATGCTGAGCAGATGAAATATATTTAGAGCCCTGCACAGATGCACAATTGGTAACTGCATCCATCTCTGTACAAATGATCTGCGGATATCCAAATTCGCAGGTGCAGATACCCACAGATATAAAGTGGATATCCACAAATTTGCAGGGTTTTAGACACAACATTTGCATCCATAGCTGCAAAAATGAGCCACAGATATTTGCATCAATATCTGCAAATGCAGACACCCATGGGTATAAAGCAGATATCCACAGATTTGCAGGGCTCTAAATATAATCTAAAACCGACAGTAAAATCATAGAGCATAGGATGCTGAATTTAAAAAATCTAACTAAAAAAAAGCCAAATGATGTGGGGTTTCTACTATGAAAACATTGTGAGAGAGTCGCACACTCGCAGGAGACAATTAAGCCCCACAGGGAGGACAGAAAAAGCAATTGCTCATTAGATCAGATTCCTAAACCGTGAACCTGCTGTGCTAGCTGTACTGAAGTAAGTCAGTAGTTTTCCCTTGTCTTTTCCAGAAAATGACATCAGTGAAGGATGGAAATGGGAGGAGTCATGTTAGTGAACATAACGATGACCACAACTTTGTGTCAGCAGGTCATGAGTAAAAGTGAATGCTTGTCTCTTACTTTGCAGGTTCCTCGGGCCAGAGCCCTGTTCAGCTACAGAGGACAAAACCCTGGTGAACTGAGGTTCAATAAAGGCGATATCATCGTCTTGCTTCGACAGCTGGATGAAAAATGGTACCTCGGAGAAATGAATGGTGTCAGTGGGGTTTTCCCAAGCAGCTCGGTGCAGGTTATCAAACAACTTCCACTGCCACCGCCCCTGTGCAGAGCACTTTACAACTTTGATCTGAGAGAGAGAGATAAAAATGAAAATAAGGACTGTCTGACATTTCATAAGGTAAGGTTGCCTGCCCATCTCTCAGGGGCAGGTATTTTAACAACTGGGTGGTTTCTCAACCATGGGTCCTGTTGTCAGCATCACAGAACCTTGCAGGTCTATAGCACCTTTCACTAAAGATCTCAAAGCTCCAGGCAAACAAGAATTAAACTTTTCAGCACATCAGTGCAATAAGTCAGTGTAAGTATCATCACCATTTTACACATGGATAAAGCAAGGTAGAAAGGTTGGGGCTTTCAGAAGTGCTCAGTGTAAACCCATCTCTTACCAAATATTTAAGTCAATGATTGAAAGTCCCACCTAAAGGACAGGGCCATCCTTAGGACTTATGGAGCCCTGCACAGTACTATTAACCTGATGCCCGTATGCCCAACAGCAGCCCAGGAAACACGGGGAGGGGGAAGAAAGGGAGGGATGATGATTTTTTAGAGATGTGATTTTATAATCTTCAGCTAATAAAATAGTTTTAAAGCAAATTTTAAACTAAGATCCTGTAGACTAACACATATAGTAAATTCAAAAGTTACAGAGGGGCAGCCATGTTAGTCTGTAACTAGAAAAACTTAAAAAACAACCAATAGTCTAGTAGCACCTTAAAGACTAACAAAACATGTAAATGGGATCATGAGCTTTTGTGGCCCCAACCCACGTCTTTAGGTGAATGAAGTAAATCCAGTAAATTCAGAAATGGATAGTGCATGCCTGGGGTTGGCAAATGCTTGTTAAATGTCTTCGTTACCACTTGAATGGTTCTTTCACAGATTCAGTGTTCTGCTAATAGGTCTGGAAGGCTTTTCCACTTTTAAATTAACCAGCTCCTCTCTGGAGAAAGCAATGCCACAGAAGGGATAGAAAGAGGTGGGTTCCCCACATTTTCAGGTGCCCTATGCAGCTGCATATTCTGTGTATGGGTAAAGACAGCTCTGCCCTGGGACACACACTTGATATTCAGAAAATGAGTGAAAATTTGACTGAGGTGGAAACAGAACCCAGAAGCCTGATATTCAGTCTCTTGTCTTAACTTCTGACAGGTCTCCTTTAGTCAATTAGCTGCTGATTGATTAGCAGCAGTACTCTAAACTCTGGGTGAGTTTGCCTTGAATGAGGCTTAGTTGTAAAATATACAGAGAATGGCTTAATAGTCGGGGGACAGAGGTCATCTATGCATTTTCAACCATTCCTTTTGGACTTTACATTAGTGAAGCGATACCTGCATGATTCTACACACATTTGCCATCTGTCTTGGGATTCTACTGAAATTACAGGACTTGCGTTTATTCTTTTTAGAGGAGATATTTTTCAAGGTAACTCTCTTCACAACAATGTCAACACTCCCTAATAAGTCAAAATTAGGTGACACATTAAATCTAGCAAAGAAGCCAATGCCTACAGGCTCCGATATCCTAACGGAGACGTCACCTATTTTTCCTTTCACTTGACAGTTCAGCCCCTCATGCTGCTGCAAGTCAGTGACAGAAACAAGAAGTATTCTAGAGGGGCATAAGCACAAAGTTAGCAGGCTTGATGGATTAGGGCTGGGGGAGTGGAAGGCTGAGAAAAAGAAAGTTCAAATATCCCCAAACCAGCCATTATCTCAAAAGGGGATGAGGCAGAACCAGAAGAGAAACACTGCAAGTTCTCACTGAAGCATCTGCTGCTGCTGCTCTCTTTGCATTGTCGCTTTAGAGTGTGGTTTCTAATATTGCTAACAATAACACAAGGGAAATGGGGAGCCAACAATTTTTTTAAACTTTCCTCTCTTTCATGCCGTCTGGTTTTGTTTTCTTTTTTGCTTTATTTGCCTTTGTTTCACTGCTTACTCATTCTATTTATTTGCTTTTTGGAGACAGCGCTCATTTCCACGCCTACAGCTCTGTTAGCACACGGAGAGTTATCCCACATATAAAACAGGCAGATGCTTCTTCGAGGAGGGGATAACACGCTACCAGCTTTGTGCCTTGCAGCACTAGTGAAACAGCTCACAATGGTATGTTCTCCCTGAAGGAGACCAACTGCTTTAATATCACCCCTCATGCTGGGAAGGGTCTATGAAGCTTCCTTTATGCACCCAACCACAGCAGAGGGATTCTGAGCTCAGCCCACCCCACATAACCTCCTCTCTACTACTTTTGTCCTCTATTGAGGTTATTTGCACCCCAATGAGTGCTGGTAGTCTGCAGAACTTAGGCACTGCAGTTGTGATGAGACCTTTATGGGTGATGCAGGGTGAACCACAATCTGGCCCTGGATGTTTAACTGCAATGATTTAAGAGTCACAGTCCAGATGACAAGTGCTATCAAAGTGCACTGTATTAGTATGAACAGAAACACCCAGAAAGAGGGCTTGATTCTTCCCTCCTTCATCTTTGTGAACTCATTTATACCTGCACAAAAGGAAGGCAAAGTTCTACCAAACTGTAATGGAACCCTCATCTACCCACTTTGCATAGTGATGTAGGCCAGAGGGGAATTCAATCAAGACGATTCCGCTCTCAATTGGAATGCGAGAATCAAATGTTACTCTATGACTTCTCAAATTAATTCAAAGAAAAGAAAAATGTCAGTTTGGTCTCATGCTTTTTTGGACTTTTTCTCCCTGCAGGTATTTAAAATAAATCAAATACAAATATATTTTAAAAGTATAATATTCCATTTCTGGGTTGCACAGAAAATAGATCTTTCCAAAGGGTTTTAGCCACCAGTTAATATAAAATGAGTTTTGCTCCAGAGTATTTGAAGTACTGCTGGGCCAGTAATATTAGGGTATTTCAACCCTTAAAATATTGGCTTATATGAGTTTCTTGGCAATAGACTGCCAGTGGCCTGGAAACTTCTAATGGTTTGTATTTGGTACAAATATGAAATGTCATTTTATTTGTGCAAGTTAATTAAAAAAGAATTTCCACATGAAGGAAACCTTTTAAAAATCTCGCTTGGTTTTCAAGCTTTTTTTCATTGTCCTTATTTAGCAAAGCATAAATGCACACGAAGCATGGAGATAGACTTAAACATGTATTGAAGGCTAAGCACGTGCCAAAGACCTTTGCTGAAGACCTGTGTTCTCTACAATGGACATACCACTGAGGCTGCCTAATGATTTTGCCTTGAATCAGTGACAGGTCAAATCCATCTTCACACCTACTATCTGCCTATCCCACACTGAAAGGTTGGTAACAATATACTTCTGCATTTCAGGGCGATATCATCACAGTGATTAGCAGAGTTGATGAGAACTGGGCAGAAGGCAAGTTAGGTGATAAAATAGGGATCTTCCCCATCTTGTTTGTGGAGGTAAGTGCAACACATTCAAGAAAACTTATTCAGTCCATTACCATAGTAACCAGCTGACTCCAACCATGCTCAACAAAGCTCCTTGTGTGGCCCGTGATGCTAGAAGGAATTCTCTGGTTTGTGTCACATCTCATTTAAATGAGTGTGCTAGTAAAGAATGGGAAGTGGCAGCCAAGGAAATATCCTCAAACACTGTCAGTGTGGTTGGGAAGGACCAAAGCTCTCAATGAAGGGGTAATTCAGACTTCTTGGCCTATTCAGTCCTTGGCATTTTGCTGACACTATGAATAAGGGTGGTATTGTCATGGGTTATGATGGGGTTTGTAATGTTAATAATTACAATTAGTTGAAAAATTTATATTGAAACTCTGTTTTGCTGGGGGTGGAAACCCCTTTTCATTAGATAATGACATTTTTCATTTTTTTGATCAAAATATTTTAAAAGTGAAAATTCTCAAAATTATTCATCCAAGTTCTGATTCTCCTAATCATTTGTAGTGGGAAAAATGAAAGAGGGTTGTTTTTCCCCACCAAAATGACATTTTTCAAATGTTTTTCAAAATTTTGTTTTAAATAAACTGTTAAGCAAAAATTCCCAAAAATATCGTGGAAAAAAATTGACAAAATAGTAGGGCTGTCAATTAGTCACAGTTAACTCATGCATTTAACTAAAAAAAATTAATCACAACTAAAAATTTTAATCACACTGTTAAACAATAAAATACCAATTGAAATTTATTAAAATTTGTAATGTTTTTCTACATTTTCAAATATAGTGATTTCTATTACAGCACACAATAGGTGTACAATGCTCTCTTTATATTTTTATTACAAATATTTGCACTGTAAAAAGGATAAAAGAAATCTTTTTCAATTCACCTCATACAACTGCAATCTCTATATCATGAAAGTGTAGATTTTTTTTTGTTACATAACTGCACTCAAAAACAAAACAATGTAAAACTTTAGTGCCTACAAGTCCTCTCACTCCTATTTTTTATCCACTCAGACAACAAGTCTGTGTACAATATACAGGAGATAATGCTCACTTTTTGTTTACAGTGTCACCTGAAAGTGATTAACTGAAAAAAACAAAAGGACTAAGTGTACTTCACAAGTTCTACATTGTTTTATTTTTGAATTCCGTAATTTTTGTATATTAATTCTACATTTGTAAGTTTAACTCTCATGATAAAGAGATTGCACTACAGTATGTGTATTAGGTGAACTGAAAAATATTGTTTTTCAATTTCTTTTTGCAGTGCAAATATTTGTGATAAAAATAAAGTGAGCACAGTACACTTTGTATTTTATGTTGTAATTGAAATCAATATATTTGAAAATGTAGAAAACATCCAAAACTATTTAAATAAATGATAGTCTGTTATTGTTTAACAATGCAATTAATCATGCTATTAATTGCAATTAATTTTTTTTATCACTTGACAACCCTACAAAATACAGACTTGCCCTTTTTGATCATCTCTATTAATAATACATTTCCACTAGGAACTATCTTGAGATCAACCGATTTTCTATAAAGCACAACACATTTATCAGGTAGTAACAGCCTTAAGTGATTACCAAACTGCCCTAACTTCAAAGCAGAGATTTGGAGAGGGTTGTGTATTGCATTATAAATGTCCTTGGCCATTTAGTCCTTCCCTACCCACAACATTTTTTGTTTAATACTGAATTGGTAATTAATGGTATCCCTAAGTTTAGCGTGGGCTATAAATTGTAAAATGCACACACAAATCAAACTACCAAGATACAAATGGAGATAATATTAAATTAATTACAGAGACATTTGTTACTTATTCCACAAATTCTTTATAGAGAGAAACTAATAAAAATATTACTTGATGCTCTAATAGATCTTGTAAAATGTGTCTTCATTTCATAAAATAATTTTAACTCAAGTAACTACTTCATCTAGCATTAGCTGGAAAAAATTAATCATGGCCACTGGGGAACTACAAATTAATTATGAGAAGGGTAAATATGGGATAGTTTGGAATATACAAGATTTCTTTTGATTTTGGCTTTACAGACAATGATAAGATTTGTATTCCACTTTAACCAATCACCTAGTGTGAGTGGAATTCAGATAAATAGTTTCAGTTTTAGACTCATTTCTAATTACTTACAGAAATAACAATATAATCTATGACTTATTTCTGTAAGTACTTGAAGATGAGTCTATGTATATACATATTCACACAACCTATTTTAAATCTCGCTTTAATATTGTCTTTGGGATTGAGGAGGAGGGAATATAAAAACAACCTATGCTCTTAAATAATGATACTGTAGGGGCAATTACTTATTCCATGCTAGATTGATTATTTTTTCATCCTCAGTTCTAGGCGTACAGCTTCAGATGAGTGGGCGAGAATCTCAAAGTTTTGCAATTCTTTAATGTCAGCAGTAAATCATGATTAATTTCTCTGGCAGCCATTGTGGTAAGGAAATTGCCACCACATGCCTTTTGCTATTAATATTGATGTGCTTAGCAGTTCTGAAGAAATCCTGTTGAAACAGACGCTATTTCTACACTGCAATTTATGGCAGCAGAGCTTAGGTTGCTAAGGGTGCTAACAAACCGAGTGACATAAGTTACTCTGACTTAAGCACTAGTGTGGACAGGGCTGTCGGCAGGAGAGCTTCTGCAGGTGATTTGATTTTGCCGACAGGAGAGCTCTTTCCAGCACATAGTCTTCACTGATGCAGCTGCGCCACTGCAGTGCTGTATTTCTTGACATGCCCTTAGTCTCTATGCAAACTGAGGGGCAGACTCCCTAAGATCCCTGCAAGCTGCATAGCCATACAGCTGCCTATTTAGTGCCACACAGATGGAAAGGGAATCTAGCCATGACCAAAGGAGAAGCAGCCTTGCTCCAGCTCCAAGTAGCTTGGCCTCCAACCAGCCACTGCTGAGGGAGAGATGGCCCAAACCTGGCCCCAGCCCAGAACTGCTACAACTGGAGCACCCAGTCCCAGCTTCTGCTGCAGCCCCCACTTGCCACAACCAAGGTGCTCCTATCTCATCCTGAACCCAGCAGCAGCTGAGGCAGTCTGGATCTGCCATAGCTCAGGTGCCACTCCCCTGAGCAAAACACAGCCCCTGACCTGGATTTACCTCAGTGCCCCTCCCATGACCTTAATCCAGCCTTTGACCTGCAGGGGCCAGAGCACCTATCCAGCCCTAGAGATGCTGCAGTAGGAAGAGGTGCCTCTCTCTGCCCCAGCCCAGGTATTGCTGGGGGGGAATCCTCTGTCCCTGACATGGCCCCAGAGCACCTCCCTGCACCCCAAACTCCTCATTCCAAGCCTCAGTGCTCACTCCCCCAGCCAGAGCCCTCACCATCTCTGCCCCAGCCCTGTGCCCCCTCACTCTTGATCCCACTCCCACAGCTCACACCCCAGAGCCCATACCCCAAACATCTTCCCCATCCCCTATTCCTCTCCCATACTGCAAACCCCTTTGGTCCACCCTCACCACATGAATTTAGTTATGTGCACCAATACAATGTGCCACACCACCTCCCTATTAGAGCTTATAATAAAATTCATTCCGCACCTGGTCGGGAAAAAAATAGAGGAAACATTGCTCTGCTCCTATTAAAATTAATGCTAAAATCCCACTTCTTGCATTGGGAGTAAGATCAAGCTATGAATATTGTGTTCTAAACTCATCTAATTGAATGGGGACAACACTCTCATTAAGCTACCTTCAGTGAGGACTTCTCCAATCGAATGCCTTAATGTCTGTTGGAGAGACTTGACTCCCTGCTGTGAAATGACGATCTTGCCAACACAAAGCAAATAAGAAAGACATGCCCATTTGTCCCTTGTAATTTGGTATTCCATTTATCACACTATGGGTATGTTTACACTAGCCCCCTAGTTCGATCTAGGAAGGCTAATGAGTGTGACTAAAATTGCAAATGAAGTGCGGGATTTAAATATCATTAGCATGTTCCTGTCCGGTCGCCATTTTAGAAATTGACTTCATTTTGGGAGGAATAACAGGTTATTTGATTTAGGGCTTTAATTCAGAATCCCGTTTCACTGCCGTGTGTAGACGCAGGCAGTTACTTCGGGCTAGTCAATTTCTAAAATGGCGACTGGCCAGGAACATGCTAATGAAGTGTGGGATATTTAAATCCCGCACTTCATTTGCAATTTCGGTTGCCCTCATTAGCCTCCCTAGATTGAAGTAGGGAACTAGTGTAAACATACCCTTTGCTTCTGGAGCTGAGTGAAAGAAGCCAGCTGAGATGCACTTATCTTTCCATGTTCATCTTTGTGAGATTCAGGTTTTGACAGAAAAGGAAGTCTGAACTTTCTGTGACACTCAATCTGGAGAGAGAACCAGACATCCAGGCTTAATCATATACTGTCCCCAGTCCCTCAATCCATTTTAACTTGGTGGTCAGTTTTGTGTTAGAAATTATGCTTCTGGGATTTGTCACTGAAAATATAACAAAGGTGAGCCACTCAATTGCAAAGATTAACCATAATGTAATCTGACATCCCAACTCAGGGTAGGTCTGCACTTACCAGAAGATTGGTGTTGCAAAAACTTGATCTCCCAGGAGTTGATTTAGAGAGTCTAGTGAAGACCCACTGGATCAACCACCAATCTTTTTCCATAGTACTCCACCAGAATGAGAAGCATGAGGGAAGTTGATAGGAGAGTTTCTCCTGTCGATACCCCACAGCAACTCGGCCTAAGGTCAACATTGCCCCCTAGTGCAGACCTGCCCTCAGCTCTGCTCCTTGTTAGGTTGAGGTATAAAATGTCGGTCTATGCTCACTGGGTTTAGTGTCTATGAAAAGCTTAGCTTCTGAGATGGTGCCATTAAACAACTCTTCTTTCTGTCACAGCCAAACATGACTGCACGACAACTCCTGCAGACAAAGAAAAGCCACCAATCCCCCCCATTTAAATATTCATCACCTTTACGGACAGCCTCTCTCAAAGTGAAAAGCACAGAGTCACCAACCTTCCGAAAGGGGTCGGAACCTAGGAGGAAGAGCCTGAGACCATTCTCCATCACAACTGCCTTGAATACACTCAACAGGATGGTCCATTCACCCACAGGGAGGCAGACATTGGAAATCAGCTCACCAGTACTCATCAGCTCCAGTAATCCGACTGTGGCAACCCAGAGCAGTGAGAAATTGGAATTCCCCTATGGCACCCCTGTCCAGGTAAATAAAAACCATCCATGTTGGTGATTGTAGAGCACATGCATTGTTTGCTCAGAAAACAATAGGCAGAAAAGTAAATACTAGGTGGAAATCTTTTTTCCTCTGTGCAGACAGCAACTTGAAAAGCCAAAATTCAAATTAGCATTAGATAGCACTTTAAGGCTTTTAGAGATTTATATCTGCAATGGTTTAAACTTCCTGCCATAATGATCCACAATCTACATAAGAACATCTCTTTTCCCATCATGGAAATGCAACCATCTCTAGGAAGGAGCACAGTTCACAATAAGCACCCAGACGTATAAGATATCTAGCAATCTCATTTCCCCCTGTAATCAATGGAAGCCGAGAGCCCTAAACACCTCAGAAAACTGGCTCTAATTTAGATTTATTATATCTAGTTGAAGGTGTAGGGGAATTTAACTAAAGAAGAATGAAGATTTCCCAACTTAAATTTTACCACAATGCACCAGGGGGGCAGGGCATTTTTTAAATAAATATCCTCCTTAAATACACCATCTAAAGACTTGTCTGCATGGTAGGTTAGTGCCCAGCACAGTAAAACAGGATCACTAAGAGTGCACTCACTGGACACTGATACTGCACACGAATGGTTCTGCAGTGGGCTTTGACTAACTCCCCTTTGATGCACTCCTGTTTGAGTCTGGAGTTTGAAACAGGAGTACATGAAAATGCACAATGGAGCTTTTAATGTAGTGGCAGGCTCCAGATAGCCAGTCAGTGCACCACGGACAGGGTAGGCTGTAAATCCTGGCTTACCACACTGACTTGATGTCCAGACAGGTCCTATATACCCTCTTGTAGAATACAAGCTGGAGAAAGCATGAAATCCTGTAACTTAGCAGCTAAAAACTAGCAGGAAACTCTGAATTGTAAGCTGGCATTCTTCATGGAAATCTATCATTACTGAGGGTCGAATACTGCAACAAAGGGAGTTTTGACTGACCTCAGTAAGCAGGAGATCAGGCCACATGTAAGTTCTGTAAAAAGCACCTTCCAGGTAGTTCAGAGAGGTGGCAAAGCAATGAACTCAGACTTTACTAGCAATAAACGTGATGCCCTCTGAAAGATGAGCTTCGTCTATCAACTAAATACAACTTAGCGAGGCTTGTCTTGTCTCTTGATTTCATGTGATGCCACCTGCTTCACACACATACACTCCTCTATTCAATGATAGTTATGAAGCCATCTAGTGAAGAAATCTAATCATCCAGACCAGAACCCTTTTTCCTTTGATCTTTGCCCTTCAGCCATATCCTCCACTGTTTACATCGCTTTACTTCCAAAAGAAGAATTTACCCTTGCAGGCTTTGTCTCCTTCCAAGATTGTCCCAAGACAGACTGAATTTTGGACTGTAATGGTACAATGGTATTATTAAAATACACTTTACAAAATAAGACCTCTCCTTTTTAAGGAGGTGAAAGGTCCCTTGGTCCCCACTCTCTGATCAGAAGTCACTACCCTGCTTGTTTACTGATTATCTGAAAAGAAAAAGGGGGTTTTAAGATTTATATGGCATGTTTCATACTCTAGAAAACTAGAGAAATAGTCTGAGGTAAATAGGATGAAGTTTAATAAGAATAAATGCAAAGTACTCCACGTAGGAAGGAACATTCTGTTTCACACAAACGGAATGGGAAGTGACTGTCTAGGAAGGAGTCCTGCAAAAAGGGATTTAGGGGTCATAGTGAATCACAAGCTAAATATCAGTCAACAGTGTGACACTGTTGCAAAAACAAGCAAGCATGATTCTGGGATGCATTCACAGGAGTGTTATGAGCAAGACACGAGAAGTCATTCTTCCGCTCTACTCTGCGCTGATCAGTTGGAGTACTGTGTCCAGTTGTGGGCACCACATTTCAAGAAAGCATGTGGAGAAATTGTAGAAGGTCCAGAGAAGAGCAACAAAAATTATTAAAGGCTTTGAAAATATGAGTTATGAGGGAAGACTGAAAGAATTGGGCTTGTTTATTCTAGAAAAAAGAGAAGACTGAGTGGGGACATGCTAGCAGTTTTCAAGTATCTAAGGGGCATTCAAGGAGCAGGCAGAAAAATTGTTCTCCTTGGCCTCGATGATAGGACAAGAAGCAATGGGCTTAAATTTCAGCAAAGTAGGTTTAGGTTGGACATTAAGAAAAACTTCCCAACTGTCAGGGCAGTTAAACACTAGAATAAATTGCTTAGGGAGGCTGTGGAATCTCCATCACTGGAGATATTTAAGAACAGGTTGGTGAGACATCCATCAGGAATGATCTAGATAGTGTTTGTTCCTGCCATGAGGCCAGGGGACTGGACTTGATGGTCTCTCAAGGTCCCTTCCAAATCTAACATGTTATATGTCTACAATTCTACTCAAGGTAGCTCCCAATAAGCCTGCTCTTGGTAGTGCAGAGGTTATGCAAGAAAAATCAGCAGGTTTTCTGTACCTCACAGAGCATCTTGGATGCTAAATACTGTTTTACTATGAGAGAAAGTAAAGCTCTACAAGAGGATCATAATTCAATTGAAATTGTATCACAGTTTATAAAACCAATGACATTTCACTGAAAAATGTCTCACTGTGGACTACTGTCAATAGCATGAGCCACAGAGCATGTATGCTGCCTTTTGCCTTATAATGGCTCTGAATTGTTGTTGTTTTTTTCTAAGTCAGGCTCTATACCCAGTAGGTTGGTTTGGTTGGTGTTTGTTTTGGAAAGGGGAGGTTGAGAGGGAGGTTATGTGGATTTCAGGAAGGCAGATTTTAGAAAACTCAGAGAGCTGGTAGGTAAGGTCCCATGGGAAGCAAAACTAAGACGAAAAACAACTGAAGAGAATCGGCAGTTTTTCAAAGGAACATTATTAGGGGCCCGAAAGCAAACTATTCTGTTGCGTAGGAAAGATAGAAAGTATGGCAAAAGACCGCCTTGGTTTAACTAGGAGATCTTGCATGATCGAAAAATCAAAAAGGAGTCAGGTAAAAAGTGGAAACTAGGTCAAATTAAAAAGGATGAATATTAGGAAACACCACCCATATGCAGGAGCAAGATTAGAAAGGCAAAGGCACAAAACGAGCTTAGTCTAGCTAGAGACATAAAGGGTAACAAGAAGACATGCTTAGAGTTGCCAGGTGTCTGGTATACAACCGGACAGTCCGGTTTTTGGGCCCTCTGTCCGGTAAAAAAATTCAGAAAATACCAGACATGTGCAATGTCCAGTATTATCTGGTTTTCCAGCTGGGCGCCTGATGGAAGCCTGGTGGGGGCGGGGGGAGTGGCTCAGAGGCTGGGCACGATCACCACTGGGAGCCTCTGGTTGCGTCTGACATAAGAGTGATGCCTTGGGGAGGAGGAGAAGCTCTGTCCGTGCTCCTGAGCGCTGTGAAAGCACGTGGTTGAGCAGTAGCTGGACTCGCTCGTGCTTCACCAGGACTGTGCGTGGGACAGGCAGCGCCCTGGGATCTGCATGTGCCCAGGTCAGTTCTGCTCCCTGCCAGCCGATTTGCTGCCCTCCTCCCCCCCGGCCAGCCCTGCTCCCCCAGACCCACTCCCAGCCAGCCCTGCTTCCCCGGCCAGCCCTGCTTCCTGCCAGCCGGTTCTCCTCCTCCCGATCTCCCCAGCCAGCCCCGCTGCCCCTGACACACACCCCCCCGACAGCCCTGCTTCCAGTCCCCCTGCCTCCCCCGCCTCCCCCACAATCAAGTGTGTCCAGTATTTTTTCTGAAGCTACCTGGTAACCCCAGACATGCTAAATATATTAGAAACAAGAGGAAGACCAAGGACAGTGCAAGACCACTGCTCAGTGAAAAGGGACAATAACAGGGTACTTTGAAATAGCAGAGGTGCTTAATGACGTCTTTGTTTCGGTCTTCACCGAGAAGTTTGATGATGGTGGGATGCCTAACATAGTGAATGCTAGTGGAAATGAGGTAGGTTTAGGTGTTAAAATTAAAAAAGAACAAGTTAAAAATTACTTAGAAAAGCTAGATGTCGGCAGCTCCCTACAGCCTGATGAAATGCATCCTAGAATACTCAAGGAGCTGATAGAGGAGCTATCTGAGCCTTTAGCTAGCATCTTTGAAAAATCATGGAGATCGGGAGAAATTCCAGAAACTGGAAAAGGGCAAATAGAGTGCCAATCTATAAAAAGGGAAATAAGAATAACCCATGAAACTACAGACCAGTCAGTTTAACTTCTGTGCCAGGGAAAATAATGGAGCAAGTAATTAAGGAATTCATCTGCAAACATCTGGAAGATAATAAGGTGATAGGGAACAGCCAGCATGCATTTGTAAAGAACAAATCATGTCAAACCAATCTGATATCTTTCTTTGATAGGATAACAAGTCTTGTGGATAAGGGAGAAGTGGTGGACTTGGTATACCTAGATTTTAGTAAGGCATTTGAAACAATCTCACATGACCTTCTTATCAATAAGTTAGGCAAATACAACTTAGCTGGGGCTACTATAAGGTGGGTGTATAACTGGCTGGATAACCATTCTCAGAGAATAGTTATTAATGGTTCACAGTCATGCTAGAAGGGCATAACAAGTAGGTTCCTCAGGATCTGTTTTGGGACTGGTTCTGTTCAATATCTTCATCAACGGTTTAGATGATGACATAAAGAGTACACTTATTATCATAAAAGAGAACTAGATAAATTCATGGAGGTTAAGTCCATAAATGGCTATTAGCCAGTATGGGTAGGAATGGTGTCCCTAGCCTCTGTTTGTCAGAGGGTGGAGATGGATGGCAGGAGAGAGATCGCTTGATCATTACCAGTTCGATTCACTCTCTCTGGGGTACCTGGCATTGGCAACTGTCGGCAGACAGGGTACTGGGCTGGATGGACCTTTGGTCTGACCCAGTATGGCCACTCTTATGTTCTTATGTTCTTATTAAGTTTACAAATGATTCCAAGCTAGGAGGGGTTTCAAGTGCTTTGGAGGATAGCGTCATAACTTAAAATGATGTGGACAAACTGGAGAAATAGGCTGA